GAATATACCCAGAGGAAATCAAATCATTCTACAAAAAAGATACCTGCACATACATTTTTGTTGCATCACTATTCACAATAGCAAAAACATGGAACCAACCGTGCTGCCCATCAAAACTGGACTGGGTAAAAAAAATGTGGTACATATACACAGAGGAATATTATGCAGTCATAAAGAAGGTCAAACATATGGACTTCGCAGCAACTTGGATGGATTTAGAGTCGATCATACTCCATGATCTATCACAGAAACAAAGAACAGAGTACCATATGTTCTCGCTCAAGCGGACCTTAAACAATTACCATAATACTATAAGAAAGAGATTGGAAGTGGGAAACTGCCAGGGGAGATGAAAGCACACTTTATCAACAAGGGTACTTGTATAACGAACATTTGTATACCTAACCCTGAATTGTATACCACATCTTTAAAATTTAAAAAAATTTTTTTAATGAAATGACACCATTTGGGGAAGCATTTGTCATCTCCTTCCACTCTTCTGTGTGTCATTTTGAAAAAATTCAGTTAACAAAATCCTTTACTTTGCATGCATCTTATCATTGCTTTATTTAAAACAAAAAATGGCCAGAAGTCTGTTTATTAAGAGAGTTCCAGGTTATTTGGGAATTCCTGAACCGAACACACAAATCAGTTCTTTCCATAGTCCTTGGAAACAGAGCATCTGAGCAGATGCCAAAGGAAAGGGAGATGGTGTTCTTTGGGTGGGTTCTGAAAATACTGTGGATGCTGATAAGTGCTAGAACTGTTGGACAGCAGAGGCAGTGCTCACAGTGGAAGTGCACTATAAATACAGCCCTATTTTCTGGGCAGGGGGTAAGGGGAAGGAGAGGCTTTTATTCCCTAAAAATACCTGAAAGACTAAAGGAGGATATATGTCTCAAATGTAGCATAAAACCTCTTCTGTACAAAGTAAATAAACAAAAGTATCTTCCCCACTGCTGCTTAAGATCTGTTCTTTCCACCATTAAAGTTGGCATATTATCTTTCTAAAATTTCTGTTAAAAAGTACCCAGGAGGGCTTCTCTCATGCAAAAATTAATACTCATTACTCTGTTGGCTGGTTGGTTTGTCTGATTTTCTTTTCTTTTCTTTAAGTTTCTCTGATTTTCAAAGTGAGAGCAGCACCCAAGAGGCAAGAGTGATAAGAAACAGGAAGTTGGAGCTAGAAAAAGAAGTCTGGGTTCCTCCGGGTATATTCCCAATAGAGAATTTGCTGGGTCATATGAAAGGTCAATTTCAAGTTCTTTCAGAAATCACCACACTGTCTTCCAAAGAGGTTGTACTAATTCGCATTCCCACCAACAGTGTAGAAGCATTCTTTTTTCTTTGCATCCTCGCCAGCATTGTTGTTGTTTATTTTATTAATGATGGCCATTCTTACTGGGATTAGGTGGTATCTCAATGTGGTTTTAATTTGCATTTCTCTGATGATGAGTGAAGCTGAGCACTTTTTCATGTGTCTGTTGACTGCCCGTATATCTTCATCTGAGAAGTGTCTATTCATGTCTTTTGCCCACTTTTTAAAGGGGCTGTTTGATTTTTTCCTTTCAGCACATTTGAATTCCTTGTAGAAAGCACTCTACAAAAAAGATACCTCCACACGTAGTTTGTTGCAGCTCTATTCACAATAGCAAGAACATGGAACCAACCATGCTGCCCATCAAAGCTGGGTTGGATTTAAAAAATGTGGTACATATACACAATGGAATATTACGCAGTCATAAAGAAGGACAAATATATGAACTTTGCAGCAACTTGGATGGATTTGGAGTCGATCATACTCAGTGATTTATCACAGAAACAAAGAACAGTGTACCATATATTCTCACTCATAAATGGACCCTGAACAATTATAATGCTATTAGAAAGGGATTGGTAGTAGTGGTAAACTGCCCGGGGGGTGGGTAGGATTGGCAGTTGAGGGAAACTGCTAGGGGAGGGAGGGGCATACCTCACCAACAAGGGTAACTGCATAATCAACGTTTGTATACCTAACCCAGAATTGTACCCCACATCTTTAAAATAAAAAACATTAAAAAATAAAATAAATAAAAAGAAAAAAGAAAAAGAAGTCTGAAAAGGAAAGGATAGGACTTAAGGCAAAATTCAGTCTGTTTTTGACTAAGGCAGGTTTTGATTTTTAGAGACGCAGAGATGAAAAATTGCAAATGAAGAAACCAGAGCTGTCGCTTCCTAACAGACACCCTGAGTTAGGATTGACCTCAATAGTCTCTGGGGCTTAAGACAATTTTCCATCCCCCTCAAAAAAGCTTTGTTTTGTGCTTGCTTACCTTCCAGTAACAAAGTGAGGACTCCTGAGTTAATGACCTGCAAAAGCACTGAAGATTGAAGGTGATAGAACTCCTAGCTTGGAGTTCATTTATAGTGCCTTAGGTGAGAACTGATGTAATGAGACCACCCCATATTTTCATTTTTAATGAAAGTGTGAGAAAATCTGAGAAAACCAAGTACTCCTAAAATGTCAGAACTAGGAGGAAAACTCACAGTGTCTTTTATAAAATGAAAATTTCTGTAAATGATTGTACTGGATAACAATATTAAATCCATCCTGCATCTGGCAAAAATAACTTTATCTGCTGTAACAGCTTTTGCTGTTCTGTCTTTAATTTCTCCATTTTTTGCTTTCTACATTGCCGTTTGTTTCTACCTCAAGGGTGAGCAGTCTTCAATGGTCCATTCTAATGTACCTACTATTTTGAACTTGTAAAATTTCCCATTGATCTCATACTGTTCTTTCTGGAATCTGTTGGCTGCAGGGGTTCATTCTGCTATGATAATAGTAAGTACAAGTGCTTCTGTGTTTGTCTTGTTTCTTGTTTTTTCACAAGAAAAATATTTCATTTCTGTGGGTTTTACTAAACCATGCATCTAGGTCCAGGGCAAAAAATAAACAAGATAGTTTTAAGAAATATAAAGTAATTTAGCAGATCCCTAAAGAAAAATTAAAACTTGATATTTCTTTGGTGGATTCTAGAAATATCCACCAAACAAGATGAGCCCGGAGCATCTTTTAGTGCCAGAAAGAAATGGATAAAATACAGACATATACACAATGATGAGGTGCACAAAACCTAACTCAGTGTTCTCAGTGGTCAAAGCAGATACAATCTGAGCAACAAAATAAAGTATCAGACTAGCAGAGAAAAAAGAATGCTCCTACACTGAGGGGAAGGCAAGCTAGTTCAATCCCTGTGGAAAGCAGTTTGGAGACTTCTCAAAGAACTAAAAGTAGATTTATCATTCAACCCAGCAATCCTACTAGTGGGCTATCAGTACTGGGCTACCCAAAGAAGGGCACATCACTCTACCAAAAAGACATCTGTACTTGCACGTTTATCGCAGTGCTAGCCAGAGTAGCAAAACCATGAACCAACTTAAGTGTCCAGCAATGGTGGATTGACTAAAGAAAATGTGGTACATATGCTACACAGCCGTAAAAAAGAACAAAATCACATTCTTTGTGGGAACATGGATGCAGCTAGAGACTATCATCTTAAGCAAATTATCACAGAAACAGAAGACTGGATACTACATGTTCTTCCTTATAAATGGGAGCTAAACACTGAACACACACAGGTATAAGGATGGGAACAACAGACACTGTGGTACTCCTAAGTGGGGAGGGAGGGAGGAAGGGTGGTAAGGGTTGAAAAACTACTGACTGGGTACAACGTCTACCACCTGAGTAATGAGCTCAATAAAAGTCCAAATCTCACCATCACACAACATACCTATGTAACAAACTTGCCCATGTACCCCTTGAATCTAAAAAAATAAATTTTAAAAATCTGAGAGGCCGAGGCAAGAGAATTGCCTGAGCCCAGGGGTCCGAGAGCAGCCTGGGCAACTTGGTGAGACTTCATCTCTACAATAAATTAAAAATTAGCTGGGCGAGGTGGCATGCACCTATAGTTCCAGCTACTTGGAAGGCTGAGGTGGAAGGATCGTCGGAGCCCAGCAGGTCGAGGCTGCAGTGGTTGTGAGCATGCCACTGCACTCCAGCCTGCATGACAGAGGAGACGTCAACTCAAAAAAGAAAAAAATTAAAAAATTAAATACACATGGGAAAAATAAAATACAAGTAGGCATAAATCAATATTAATATAAATAAATGAATAAATAAATGAGGGAGAAGGGACAAACCTCCCAAGCAGAAGAATTTCAAAAAATTTGCATAACTGCTCCTGCCTCAAAGAAGTGGAGCATAAGTCCCCACTCTCCAAGTATAATTTGAGCATAGGAACTTCCTTCCAAAGGACACAGTCATGGAAAGGGGAAAGAAAGAACTTTATAGCAGAGAAACCTGACAAACACTACCTCGGCTTGGTGATCGACGTCAGCATCAACAGTGACAAGTTATGTTGATAGGATGTACCCTTGATATGACGTGGTAAAAATAGCACTTTACCTCTGTAGTCTTCCTCCTGAAAACACATAACCCCAGTCTAATCATGGGGAGAATATCAGGCAAATCCCCATTGAGGAACAGTTTACAAAATATCTAACCTGTATTCCTCCAAACAATTAAGGTCGCCGGGCACGGTGGCTCAAGCCTGTAATCCCAGCACTTTGGGAGGCCGAGGCAAGAGGATAGCCTGAGCCCAGGGATTTGAGACCAGCCTGAGCAACTTGGTGAGATTTCATCTCTACAATAAATAAATAAATAAAATAGCCGGGCATGGTGGCACCCGCCTGTAGTTCCAGCTACTTGTAAGGTTGAGGTGGATCGCCTGAGCCCAGCAGGTCAAGACTGCGATGACTGTGAGTGTGCCACTGCACTCCAGCCTGGGCGAGAGAGGGAGACTCTGACTCAAAAAAACAACAAAAAAAATTAAGGTCATCAAGAACAATGGAAGTCTGAAAAACTGTCACAGCCAAGGAGACATGAGGACTAAATATAATGTGGTATCCTGGATGAGATCCTGGAACATAAAAAATAACATTCCATAAAAACCAAGGAAGCCTCTTTGTCTCTTTCCGGCATTCAAGATATCGAAGCGAGGACGTGGTGGGTCCTCCGGTGCGAAATTCCGGATTTCCCTGGGTCTTCCGGTAGGCGCTGAAATCAACAGTGCTGACAATCCAGGAGCCAAAAATGTGTATATCGTCTCCGTGAAGGGGATCAAGGGACGGCTGAACAGATTTCCCCGCTGCTGGTATGGGTGACATGGTGATGGCCCCAGTCAAGAAAGGCAAACCAGAGCTCAGAGAGAAGGTGCATCCAGCAGTGGTCATTCAACAATGAAAGTCATACCGGAGAAAAGACGGCGTGTTCCTTTATTTTGAAGGTAACACAGGGGTCATAGTTAATAAAGGCTAGACAGAGGGTTCTGCCATTACAGAACCAGTTGCAAAGGAGTGTGAAGACTTAAGGCCCAGGATTGCGTCCAATGCCGGCAGCATTGCATGAGTCTTCCGTGTATTTGTAAAATTTATAAAACCATTAAAAAGTACCTTCGCCCCCCCCCCAAAAAAAAAAAACCCAAAGAAATCTGAATAAACTATGGGCTTTAGTTAACAATATATCGATTCTGTTTTAGCAATTGTGACCAATGTAGAGTACTAATGCAAGAGTTAATAGTATGGGAAACTGGGTGTGGGGTATGTGAAAGCACCCTATATTACTCAATTTTTCTGTAAACCTAAAACTTTTCTAAAATAAAAGTGTCATTTAAAAAAAGTTATCTACCTATGTATTTTTTCCTTGCTGACCTCTCCTGGGCATTATATCACTCAGGGTCCTTTGTGAAATATTTATTGAAAAATAAATCTAAACTGGGGAGAGTAACATGTCAGCACAGCTTCATCTTATACATTATTTCCCTTATCTGATTACTTCAGGCCCCAGCTTGTGCTCTGTAGCTTTCTCAAAAGGCCCTAAGTAATGGCAAGGGCTCCCCTAATTCATATGCCTCTGTTTCCCACCCAGGTGTGTATAATCTTTAGGTCAGTCTCAAGACAGCAGCAGGTGACAGCAGCAGGTGAATGACGCTACATGGCTTTCTCTCTTTTTTTTTTTTTTTTTGAGTCAGGGTCTTACTTTGTTGCATAGGAGTGCAGTGGTGAAATCACAGCTCACCACAGCCTCTATTTTCCTGGGCTCAGGAGATCCTTCCACCTCAGTCTCCCAGGTAGCTGGGACTAGAGACATGTACGACTACACCCGGCTAATTTTTTAATTTTTTTAGTGACAAGTTCTCACTATGTTGCCTAGACTGGTCTCAAACTTCTGGACTCAAGCAATCCTCCTGCCTCAGCCTCCTAAAGTGCTGGGATTACAAGCATGAACCACCATGCCCAGCTTCACATGGCAATTTTACTGGAAGACTAACTGCTGTCACCTGCTGCTGTCTTGAGACTGACCTAAAGATTATACACACCTGGGTAGGAAACAGAGGCATATGAATTAGGGGAGCCCTTACCATTACTTTGGGGGTGGGAGGTAGAGGGATGAGTTAGTGCTTAGGTTTAAAAATGCACCATAGAATACAAATTTCAAAGCAATGTAGCACTGCCATATATGACCCACTTATTTTTTATAGATTGAGTACATGATACACATATGAATATAGGCTGGACGTGATGGCTCATGTCTTTAATTCCAGCGCTTTGTGAGACTGAGGCAGGAGGATCCCTTGAGCCCAGAAGTTCATGGTTACAGTGAACCATGATCACACTACTTCATTCCAGACTGGGAGACAGAGCAAGACCCTATCTCTAGAAAAAAAAATGATAATAACACAAATATAAATATATATGCATACATATTACTGATTTTCATGGATGTTGCTGCGATTAATAAAACATACTCACATGCATCAGAAGAGGACAGCTCTGTGAAGGAAACATTCCATCTACTGTCTCAGTCCAAGTCCTGGCCATGTAACCCCTTTCTCTACCTTCATCTTCCATCTTGGCTCGGGCACTAATTGCCAGTATCTCTTGCACCCGAGTTCCCCCTATCTGAATATGACTTAGTCCTTTCCACCCCTCAACAGCAATCCAGTCTGGGTGACAGAGTGAAACTCCAACTCAAACAAACAAAACCAAAACAAAAAAAATCTTCTGATTCTAACATGCACCTAGGTTTGAGAACCAGCGAACTCAGACTGAACTTCTGGAGGGTAGAGATGGTCACCTTCTTCTCTTTGTTCATACAGCTCATTTCCTAACACGTGGTGATTGATAAGTGTCTGGTGATATTTGATGCTCTTGTTCCCCAGCATCTGCCCAGCAGCCATGCTTCCTGTCCCCACTGCTCAGAATTGACAACCTCAAGGGCACCTGTCTATTCACACTCATTCCAGCTGAGTTCTGGTGTCAGAGCTCTGTTTTTAGGTTCTGCTGCTTTTGGTTTCTGAAGAAATTAAATAAGTACTTGATTATCCCAACTTCAATGAGAATTTATTTTGAAAAGTTGTCCAGCCTTTTTAGCCTGCCTAAAAGCCTGACACAAGCTCAGACTTCTCAAAACATTTATGCCCTGATATGACTGCTTTTCTCTCATGGCTAGGCCCATAGAACATACAAAAAGAAGGGGGACAGAGAAGATGAGAATATATTAGTTTCCCAGCACTTTGTGGTAACAAAGTACCACAATCTGCTGGCTTAAACAACAGAAATGTATTCTCTCATAGTTCTAGAGGTCAGAAGTCTGTGATCAAAGTCTCAGCAGAATTGGCTCCTTCTGTGGACTGGGAGGGAGAATCTTTATAAAAAGAAAAATAAGAATAGTTATGGCACATCCTTTGTGCCAGCTTCCATACCAGTCTCAAAAGCATCATGTTGAAGGAAAGGACTGACTACCAGAAGAATACATATGATGTGGGGATGCGTTTTTTAAAGTTCAAAAACAGGAAAAAATATGTAGTATATGAAAACCTATATCTATTAATGGGACAAAAATAGAAAAACTAAACAACGACTAACACAAAATTTAGTTTACTAGTTACCTAGAGTGAGGGTGTGGGTGTGAACTGGGATGCCATGGGGGAGGGGGGCATACAGTGGGCTTCAAAGTATGGGTAAAATATTTTATCTCTTTATCTGGATGGAATACAATATGTTATCAATAAAATAGAAAGTAATTATAGTGCCTAAGTACTATAACGCGAGTTTTTGTTTTTTTATTCTTCAAACAACGTGTTTTATGCAACTATTAGAAGTGGGGATCCCTGGGAAGCAGCCTATAAGGTGGAAATTATCATGCAAAAAATTTATATGGCATGTTCTTGGAATCCACAACTGCGGGAGGGAATTAAAGGAAGCAGAATCAGGTAGAAGAGGTTGATCAGCAGTGTAGCCTCATTAGAGGTCTCGGCCAACCACATAGAGGGTTTTGAAGAGGACTGGTGCTTCAGAGTTGTCCTGATTTGGTGATGGAAGACAAGCCTTTATACACCCATTTTAACAGTCGTTGCATGCAGCCCATTTGGGAGAAGGTCTTGACCTTGGGCAAAGTAGCTGTCTTCAGCTGAGGCCATCCACACAGAGGGCTGACGACTAAGGGCTTTTTGCTGGCAATGCTCTCAGCAGCTGGGACAGACTGAAAGAAGCAAGCAGCACACCACAGTGTCCTCTTCAACACGGATTTAAACATATGGCATTTTTCACAATAATATATTGTCTAAAAGAAAAGAAATAGGTAAGGCAGGAAGGCCAAGCTGTAAAAGGGCATCATTTAGGAATGATACAGAATCTCACACAAGACAGGAACACACCTGGTGGAGTACTGATGAAAAAAAGTGAACACATCTGGGAGTGTCTGTCCATGGAGTACTATGGGTTTTCTGCTGGTGGAAGTGAAACCAGTGAATCAGACATGATTTGCTAATTTAACCCAGACTATGATTAACAGACATTGTGGAGTCAGCTTCATGGGGTGAGTTGATTTGACAACTCCCAGGAAATTAATGTTGCTAACTGGCCTCTGCTTTGTCCCCGCCCAATTGTAAGGGGACGGACGTTAGTGAATGGGACCCTTTTATCCTTAGTCTGAGAGATCTGTGCTTCTTTGAGTATATGATGGAAGGGGATCCACTTGGGCAGAAAAGATATCAAGAATTGTAGTCTTAAAAATAATCTCAAATTATAATAGGTGTCACTTTGTCTTCTTTCCTGTTGCCAACCTCTTATAATAGTAAAAGCTGTTTATTAATTCTCCACTATAAATCAGACGCTATTCTAAGCGCTTTACGTTTATCTCATTTTTTTCCCACAGCTTTGGTGATAAAAATAGTTTTTGGCTACATGGATGCATTGTAGTGAAGAAGTCTGGGCTTTAAGTGTACCTACTACCCTCACCTGTGCATGTTGTATCCAACAGGTGATTTTTCCTTCCATCTACCCCTTCCCACCTTCCCACTTCTGAGTCGCCAATGTCCGTTATACCATTCTCTATGCCATGTATTATCTCATTCTTTACATCAGCTAAAGGGCACAGGTACTATAATTACTTTCTATTTTATTGATAAAACAAGGGAGGCACAGGTGAGTTAAACTGTTTACTCAATGTCTCCAAGTTAGCAGAGCCAGCACTGACACTAGGCAGGCTGCCTGAGAGACTATCTTTTGTGCAAACCCTCAGCTCCTGCTATAGACAGGGAGCATCAAGCTCAGTAGTGAAGGAACTCTGTGTATGGTACAGCTCTCTGGGCATGGATGAAGTTTGACTTGTTAGTCAAGTTGTAGGCTAAGTGCTGAGATAGAGTCATAATATCCAGGCATGAAGGGCATTCCTGGGTGGAGAAGGCAGGGGGTGGCAACAAGGGCTCAGAGGACCAGAGACAGCCTTAACCCAGTGCTGACTCTGACTCTCACTCTGCAGCAGTCCCCAGGAGTTCCACTCCGAGCCCCAGCCAGCTCCACATCACAATTTACTCCCCAGGAGCACAAAAGTGGGGAACAACTAGGATTATAACCTGAAGTTATTGCCTGCAGGTGGACTGAGAGTGAGGCGAACAGTATCTCTAGATGTGGAAGGTGAGAATGTTGAAGGCAGCAGAAGATAAATGAAAAATAAAAGGAAAGAAAATATCTTCTCTGAAGCAGGAAATGCCAGTACTAAGATGGGAAATTTTAGGGCTAACCCCAAAGAGGCGTTAAGAGCCAGACCCTGGAGACAGACTGGCTAGGTCAATGGGTTAACCCCACAACTGAGTAGCAAGTGACCCTGGACAACTTACAGAAACCGCATATGCATTCAGCACAGATAAGGTGGCACCCACCTGTAGTGCTATCATGAAGCATATAGAGTTAACGTGTGCCAAGGGTTTAGAACCAGACATGACAAAATTGGTTTATGTACCTATATGCTATTACTTCTTCCTGAGTAGCAGGACATTGTTTGCTTTGATAATTCTATTCTGGCCTTTTTTTTTTTTTAATCTCCAGGAAGTCCGGGTGTGGTTC